TTGAGGAAAAGCATTATACTGAATTAAATAAAGAATAATAGCTTTTTATTGGATCATACTAATACTGATACGGGCTAAAGACAATGTGGTATTTGTATAGAGGTATTCCAAAATGACATTCTGATAATCAACATTTGTTCTGTTATCATATGTATATACAAACAACTGATCTTTATGATTTCTTAACGTGACATAGCTTCTTCTCCCTCTGCAAACAAAACAGAAAACAAGGTTATATGCGACAAATAATCATTGTGATTCAAATTGATGCAAGGATTTTTTTTTTAATAAGCAATGCTTTTCACCAGAATCTTCTTTGTAAAAACGACTTTTATAAATCTCAGCCATGCAATTCTGCCACTGTGCTGTAAGATCACTTTGAGATTAGGAGAAGTGTAATATGTAATAGGTATTTTAAATTGAATGGAACGTCTCAATTCAGTAAGCATGGCTGAAATTTGTAAAAGTTGTTTTTACAAAGAAGATTCGGGTGAAAAGCAGTGCTTATTCAAACAAATATTCGCATCATTTTGAATCACAATCATTATTTGTCGCTTAATCCCTTTTAATGACCTTGTTTTCTTTTTCGTTTGCAAGGGGAGAAGAAGATATTTCATGTTAAAGACATCATAAAGATCAGTGTTGTATGCGTATATATATGATATACACAGGCCAGTAACAGCTATGTAGCTTGTAAATTTTTAAGAGGGAAAATGCTGATTGAAATGATAATGACGAAATAGCAAATAATTGAGGAGTATCATAGGTACCAATTCAATGGATATTTGTATAAAAAAAGAGCCCCCGTCAGTAATAAAAGAGCCCCCGTGAGAAGGCTCACGGGGGCTCTTTTTTTTTGGGGGGGGGGGGGAAGCCCCCGTGGACAAACAATTAATTTGAGCCCTGTTAAATAGAGAGTCTCTTTGGGCATTTCTCTGGACGCTGAAAGGCCATGTATATATAGGCCTATAAGGAAATAAAAGTCACTATCGTCAGGAAAAGTTACGTAAAGATAATCCTGTGAAATCATCCATGTAAACATAATAACAGAGAAGGAAGACATTAGAATCCGAGACAAGAAGGATACTCTATATTCGCTTTTCATTTCCCTGTATATGACTCAACATCCATAGAGGGTATATTTTTTTTAAATCCACAAAAGCGTGGAAATTGGATTATTTACCGCCATTAATAAAATTAGCATAGCACCATATCTCAAGCTTTTTGAGAATGTATATAGGCTAGTATTGCCCTACCACGCATTGTTATAACATACTCCCCCCCCCCCACTTCTATCTCTTGTCCCTCCTCTCCCCTCCCTATGTCTGTTTATCCATTTATCTACATGTATCTATCTATTTATCTATCCTGGATCTATCTATCTCTCTCTCTCTACTTCGTCCTGTCGCTTCTTCATCAACACAATAGTACGCTCATCCTGCAAATTCTTGATCAATTTCGGCGTCAATCATTAAACACATTTACGGCATGATTAAAGTACGTCCTCATGCGACTGTTATCAATACAGACCTAATTAAGTTTTGATCTTATATTAGTGCCCCTCGAAGCTGTCTATATTTGCCAAAAATAAGTCAACAGACCGATTTATAGACGGTTATCAACTTTAGGGTTTCCAAGAAATGTAAGAAACAGAACTACCCGTCTTTTTCCCGTCGTAAGCATGATGTAGCTTTATTATCTCAATCAGTATATAAAGTTGACACCATGAATTCGCAAAGACGATATGCATGCCTATTTCCGTGTTCCTCTAAAATTGACCTTTCCCCCGTAAATTCCTGAATAGTGATTATATTGTATTTATAGATTTCTGTGGGATTAATAGGCATTCATTGATTACGAACCCTGTGACAAATAAATTGAATGCCAAATTACATCTCAAGTCTGCACTTTAGCAGTGACTAAACATAATAACACATAGCCACGATTAGAAAAGATGAAGGCACATTGCATTTTTTCCTCATAACTTATACCTTTCCTCAGAATAACTGATATATTAATAATCTTGTGATATATTAATAATCTCGTGATATATTAACAATCTTTTCCGATGTGCGTTAGATTCATGTGAGATATTACTGACACCAAACAAATGATATTAAAATGTTATAAACACTTAATTTTTTCTTTATTGACAGAAAGAGATGCATGTGTAAGGTGGATGGCTGGCAGCGACTTTGACGTGCACGCGCCATGCAAATGCAAGTGCAACGACCAACAATGACCCCAAAATACCCAGCAAATATTAGAAGAAATAATGCCAAAGATTCGTTCTCTTGATCCTAAAATGATTGTGTTTATTATTAGATTTTTAGGCAGTGTACTGCCACGATACTACCACGAAGACCGGGAAGGGTGATGAATCAAAGAACGCGTGATCGCCCAAAGACTAACATTCACCCTTTTGTTGAAGACCCATAATAATGTGTGTCAATCCGATTATGTAAAACCGTCACTTCATTTTATGAATGCATTTGTTACCATCATCACGTTTTGGTCCGGTCCCTAATTTGCTCTTGTCACGTGTTCCGATCATGTTATGAACTTTATGGTAACGAAGACGCCACGCACCGCTGACGATTTATGGAAGAAAAGAAAAAAAAGAAACTCCCAAAAAAAAGTATTCATTACTTGATAAATCTGTCCTTTGATACTTGTCAAATGCAAAAAAGATTTGGAATTTGTCCAACTTTTCTTTTATTGTTTCTATTCTGTTGTTGATTAATAAATATATTTGTAACAAGATGCACATGACTGAAAGGGTCAACCCCCCCCCCCCCCCCATTTGGTAAAAGTCATTCACTGGGATCCAAAAGATATTTTACATTTTTCTTTAATAATCGGTGAATTAATTTGTAAAACTGATGGGTCCATTAAACTGCATTGTACTAATTCAAGGATGATCATACGCTTTGAAACCTAATAATAGTAATATCGCTGATAGACCCCAAATATCAGTCTATCGCGTTCTTTGATAATCTCTCTTTTGTAAACCTCCAAGCAGAGGGATTTTCTGACTGCATGCAAAGATCAATAGCTCCAATCCGAAAGATATGGTAGCTGCGTGAACTACTGGGATCAAACATGACTGGATTACAGCAATTTTAATTAACTGTACATTAACCTTAATCTCATCAAATTCAAAGTATTTGATGAGTCATTGTTGGTCACAATGAAACTGAAATTAATTTAGAAAAAAAAAAATCATATTTAATTATGAAGCAACTAGTATTAGTCTAATTAGACCTATGGTTGGAATCTAGGGGTGGTGATGACTCTCCTCAATAATTAATATTTGGTGATTTTGGGATTAATGTTAACCTTCTCATTGCTTCCGTCGGCAAAATAATATTCTATCGCACTCGCTTCGACTGCTTCCCTATAAATAAAAAGCTAACTTTGTAAATGCCAAAATGGATAGGACACAGTTCGCAAAGCTATTTGTCATAAGTTGTTTGTAATCGAGAATATAAATTGACGAAGTCATCTTCCTAGATTGGTGTACGCGAGTCACCTTTTTTCGCAGAGCGTATACAGATTCACCCTTGAAAGTGTGGTGTTTTGAATAGGTATGCAGGCAGCGTCAAGATGAACAATTATTAATAATTACACCATTTGTTGTTTTTAGCCCCTGATGGAGACCGTGGGAATATATAGTTCTGGTGGTTACTTATACCAGGAAGAACTACCATAACAATGATGTCGGCGGAAAGATAGAATAGTGCGAGCCTTAAAATGTCACATGAGTATGCCCTAATATAGTAAAGGTTGGGGGGAAAATCCCTAATTCTAAATTTGGATTTACGTCATATTATACACGATGCGATGCCGGTTAGTGAGGTTAAAGATCGAACCCAGATAATAATGATCATTTTTGATTGATACAGGTTTCAAACAATCAAGAAAGGAATATATATAAACAGTCGTGTGGCCACATGAACATCGTAAACATTGTTCCTTCATCTATTTAATATCTAATTGAGTGTGTTTTGGATATTATGTGAAGAGGTAAAAAGGGAAAGTTAATTAACAAAATGATAGAAAAGGAAAGAAACAAAGAAACAAAGCAAACGCCAACGACAATAAACCCATGTTTTAACAGCCATTCTCAGTTGTTGGCCCGTTCTTCCATCGAAAAATGAATTCGATCCGATATGTGAAAAAACCCATGTTAACCAAAATGAAAAGATTCTACAATAGGTTTGTGACAACCCATAATTAAGACACGCGTCACGCCTGGTCATTGTTAGGGTAGGCTATGCTGAAGGTAAGTCAACGGCTCAATTCGGGAGGATTACACTACACTCTTGATTCATAGGAGTGGAATTAATCCACTAACTCTCGGAGCGATATTAGGAATCACTATTTGGATTTGAATCCATTCCAGATTTGAGTGGAATCCACTCCAAACTAGTGGTTGAATCACTCTTTCGAGAGTGGATTTCACTTTCTTTAGCTTGTGTTTCAACTCTAAAACGAAGTGAATCCCAACGATAGGCTTGTGACTTTTTAAAAGTTCATTTCCTCCTGTTGTGCGTTTATGGAGTACAATCCCGACGTGGTAAACCCTGAGAAAGCTAAATGTAGTCTACTTCAGAAATACCTACAATAAAGTGTTTATGGAAGTGACAATTATTTACATTCTAAGAATGTGTAGATAAGCGTTTTGTTTGACTGAAAACACCGCCGGGAAGCGGTATTAATGACTACCATTGTTATTTGCTTAAAGTGGTATCCGAACAGGAAGTTGGCGCCTTCATTATCCAATGAGTGCTAACATTTAGCCTGGATATTCCGTCTTTATGTTACGCAGTGATCACGTGGTCACAACATTGAAGACAGGTACTATTTTAGTTCAAGCTGTACTGGTAGCAGCTCATTCTCCACTGCATATTCACTCTGTAAAGGACGGTGAACACTAATATCTCCAGCTCCTGGCTAATTTTGAGTAAAACTAGACATTTTCTATCTTTTATCGCCAGGCAAACCGCATGATGCCGCCAACCAATCTTCACGACAACACGAGTCGCCTACCCGTGTATTCCATCTCAGGGAGTGGAACCACGCCCATTGCTGGCGCCAAGACGCCAGAACCTGAGCCCAAATCGCCCACCGCTTTCTCCGCCTACTCCTACGACGGGCCAGTTTGCAGAATATGCCACGATGTCACTGATGTTTCAGGTAAGATTTTGTTAACACGAGAATGTTTTCTTATTCTATACCCATTAGACTTTATATATATATACATTCTAATGAACATGTAGTCAAAAAATAAGGCCAGTAAAAAATAAACATGTTTAGCGTCCCCGCCCGCTTCCTTTTTGGGGGCCGTCTCCTTTATTTTTTTTTTGAAAGAAAAAAAGCCATGAAAAACACTGCTAAAATGGATCTATTTCTGATTAAAAATTTTTTTTTTTAAATGTCGGCGGCCATCTTGAAAAATAGCTAGGCTGTCAGGGAAAATGTACCGAGGGGCCATTTTGAAGAAAAAAAAGGGCCTCCTCGTTTCTATTTTTCAAAAAGGCAGGACGCTACACATTTTTTTTTTAATTTGGCCTAAATAAATTACAAAGATGTAAACTGTAGTTGCGCCTCATGCAATGAAGCCTGTATGAACCCAAACCTTGATTGCGCTATTCGACAGGCAGTCTAATTATAAAGATTATGATTAACCGAGGAGGAATTTATGAGCGGATGTTCAGTAAATTGATAATAATTAAATTGCTTTGTACAATACATAAAACAGTTTTTCTGACGTAAATATCAAAGGTGCAATAGTTCACCCATTGCTGGTGTTGTGTTGTTGGTCACCAAGTTGTCGGAGCAGGAAGGCATATAAATTATCCTATCAAATTAATGATACTAAAGTCTATTGATAATTATCTCTTTTAAACTTAGAAAGTGTATCGTAAACAAAGTACCAACAAAGCTAATTACATCTCCTGTTTCTCATGAAAATCACAATCTGTCTATCTCTATTTCTGTCTGCGTGTGCCTTGCCCCCCTCCTCCCCCCCCCCCCCCCCCCCTCTCTCTATCTCACTATATCTCTTTGGCTCTTTCTGCATGACTGTTTGCGTCTGTTCGGCTCCCCTTCTCTGTCTCTCTCTCTCTCTCTCTTTCTTTCTCTCTCTCTCTCTCTCTCTTTTTCTCTCTTCTCTCTCTCTCTCTCTCTATCTCTCTCTCGCCCATATCACTCTCTCCCTCTCCCACGCTCTCTCGCTCTCTCTCTCATTCTCTCTCTATCTCCCTTCCTGCTTACTCCGCACACCATTATCTATTTGTATCTTTAATAATGATAATAATACTTATTTTTTTATATAGCGCTTAATACAAATGTCTCTAAGCGCTTTACAAATATACTATTATCCCGGTCATTGGATTCAGTGCTTGCCCGCACACAATGTGTGCACAATCTCCACTCCCTGGGGAGCATTCCTTCCTTCTTATTGTGCGCTTTTCATGCAGAGATAATTGTGTTTAGTGGAAAATATGCCGATGATCTTATAGGGCGTGTAAATCCCTACACCCTGGTTAATCCTGGATTAATAAAAAAATTACGATATCATAAATTATTGTCTTCCGCATGCAGGTAGCAATAAGCTCATCACACCATGCGGCTGCACGGGCTCAGCTCAGCACATCCACAAGCAATGTCTGCAGAAATGGACCAGGTTAAAAGGAGCCTCCACCTGCGAGATCTGCCACAAGTCCTACCAGAAGAGATACGTCAAATTCAAAATGACGGTAAGTAAGCCAATCATTAAAAAACAAAGTACAACTTAATTCACGTCCTTGCTGCAAATTCCAATGAAGGAAATGCGTCATTTCAATCGAGTGTGCTTTTGTTTTCAAGCCTGGATCTTATCAAGAAAGTGATTCAAACTATTACCAAAGTATACTATCGAACGCCATCCAAGGTTTTGATTAGTTTTGATTAAAACAAAAATCGAATCACCCAAACAAGAAAAGAGATCATGCCAGCCAATTTTTACTGCATACATTAGATAAACAATTATGTTTGCTAGTCTATGGAGTATCATAAGAGGTGTATGGGCACTTATGATCAGACAGCTAGACGTCTAAAAAGTGTATATCATTTCCCCCATATCCCCAAAAGAGCGATTGAATGTTCACTGTTGTCGTAGAAACGAACATTAACCGGTGCCTGAAAGGATATTTGTCTACTCTGGAACGCTAACTTGCCAGCAGAAAGTGCGAAAACAATCAAGAAAACAAAGTTTTGGGTTATAAAACAGTGGTCTAACACAATCTTTTTTAAACTTTTGTTTAAACGGAGAGTTAAAAAAGCGAACTGACAGCTTATAGAGTGAAGGACTCACAATCACCTTCACCACCACAACCAAAAAAACCTCGCTACCATTATAAGACTGCATTTTGACAGCCGCAAATAGGGTCACTGTCCGTCGACTCGCGGGATGAATAAAATGTTAAACATTAGGTATCAATCATTTGTATGATGCCTTGGTAAAAGAAGTATTCCTTAAGCATCTTAACTTTTATTGAAACCCTCAATTTAATAACCCTTTAATGGTCTGTTGACTTATCCTCGGCAAAGATAGACAGCTTCGAGGGGCACTGACATAAGATTAAAACTTAAATTGACGACCGACATCATCGTATCAAAGAATTGTTTAAAAGAAGCCTTGAATTTATTTATCGAGGTACGCTAGACATTTTGGTATGTGTGCCAACTTAAGTCGTGTCCACAAAAGGGGAGAAATTGAAAGAAACAGAAACAGACGAAAGAGACGAAAAATGGGCCTGTTCGTTTGCAATCCTTGACACAACAGCTGTTGATCACACCCTTTTTGTTCTTGAGACCTGTGTCATTCCTGCAGTGTCATTTTCCTCTATAAGAAGGCTTGTCTAAAGCCTTTTATCCATTCTATTTGCATCATCGGGAAACGTGGTGTGATAGACGACATGGTCATATTCCATCCGTCGGTCCTCTGGTTGCTTGGTAACAAGCATTTTATTTATGCTTTCTTAGCAGTCAGGTAAAATAACCACCACCACTAAACCCGTAAAGCAGGTAGACATGACCAGGGCCCGTCTTATAAAGAGTTGCGATTGATCTGAATCGACCGTCCTCTAATCAATCGCAAGTTTGTAGTCCCCTCTTAAGTACATAGTTAATATTGATATCAATCGCAAAAAAAACAAGATGCGATTAATCGCAACTTTTTATAAGTCGGGGCCCAGGTGTGTGTCTAGTTCATTTTAAGGGAGTGGGATGAGTAGGTGTTTTTATCCAATTCTGCTGAAAAGTTATCTTACATTTTCAACCAGAAGGAAAAGAGGTCATCTACATTTCCGTATACCCTATTTCAAAAATTAATTTCACCTGATTGACCTACTCGGCTTGCGAAAAAGTTTGCTAATTTTGTTACATAATAATCGTGACTGTTATATAATTACTTATTGATTTTGTGAGGTTTCACGTGCATGAGAATATTACATGCAGACAGCAAGCATAACCCTACCAAATGTTAGATACAAAAAACTTTCAATGATCTAAAAGTGTATAAAAAGCACTAGGTCTATTTAGCAAGGATTTGAACACTTTCGCATGGATTTCCCAGTGTGACCGGATGCTGTTCATGTGTCATGTGATGTCTTGTGATAGAGCTCGGTTTCTCGTCTCTATTTCGGCTCGATTTTCAGACCCTTTTCGGTTCATAACGCCTTTGAATTATTATGTAAATCAAAAGACACTGGAAAGGCATCAGAATGGTTAATACGTCTGATAAACACGAAAACGTCTCGTAACATTGACACTACTTATGTCCATTCTTATCCATTTGGCAATAACTGTAGCTTGTTTTCAATTGTTTCATGTTCTGCAATTCTCACTTACTAAATACAATGGATAAGAGAAAATCAATGACCAATAAACAAGATGGATGCATTGTATTATACTAGTATAGTGGTTACTATACATCTTGCCCATCCTCTGAAATGATAACTCTTCCGCAAGACTTTTAGAAAGATTGTTGATTGATGATTCAGTTATTTATCCAATGCGGCGATGAGAAATATGAATTTCTAACAGTGCCCTGGACATATAATACCAAACGGAAACATCTCGTGACAGGTCCTAGTCATTGTTTCATGACAATCCAAATTAGGGATGATGACAATGTTGCGGTTCGAGCTAAATTTTCCGACTTTTTCTTCTCGTTTTCATCTAAAATCGAAAGTAATCAGTGTTGATGTTGAGTGCTATAAATCCTCATGGGTAGACCTTTTTTTGAGTGATGATTAAGGGCTCAGAAATGGCCGCGAACCTCGAGCGAGTACGGACGGAAATAGGGTTAGATCGATAATGGCATCATCTTGGGGAAAGACTTGAAAGTTCCTTGCCTTCTCAGAATAAACAAAAGTACGGAAACTGTGATTCAAAATTGCCTTGGAGATATGTCCAATTTCCTATCCTTTAAGAGAATATACAAGATCAAACGCAATCTGAGAGGCATTTGTACTTTTAAAATGGACAGTACCCAATCCAACCCAAAATATATCAAGATTTTCTTGATGACCTTCCATGATTTGACAGTTTGGCTAGCTTCGAACTTAATCTTAACTGCGATCGCGAACGAATTTGGCAATGTGAGTTTTACGTTTCCGTAATCCACAAAACAGAATTCAAAGTCATGATTTGATTTTATACTACCGTCAAATACCTAATTTGATCAATATCGCCATTACGATCGACCCCCGTGTATAGAGAGTAGAGAAAGACTGCAATGTTTTACCACATTGCAATTTGTAAACTTGCAAATTCCTACTGGCTTTAGAGAGTATTTTGATTCATAATAAAGACATGCATACCAATCTAAGAATGCTTTGTATTAAATTCTGTTAATTCAAAATTACACATTAATCACAGTTAATTTGGGGAACCTGACACTCGTAACTATAAACGATACAAATATTATTAGACTGCATTTGTATCATTTTGAATATACCATGGGGAGGGTTGAGAGGGAGAGGAAAAAAACACAAGGTCTTTCAAAAGAACTTGGTCATTGTCTTGTAGGCTTGTTAATGTGTTTATAGAGAAAAGATATTTTGTTAGCATTCCAAGAGCTTTCTTCTCATATTAATTTTTTGTTCTATCTCGTTTAATTTACAGTCCTCCGAAGAGAACACGGTAGCGTCTGCAATCACTATCCTGCTCCTACTGATCGGTGTCTTATCTGTCGGTATCTACCTCCTCGCCGAGTACCTGGTCAAAGTTCAAAGTGATCCAACGACGCGTGGTTCCAACGAGCTCTGGGTGTCCATAAGCCTTGTCATCATCGGCTTCCTAGGCATGCTCGTCTTCTTACCGTGGTTCATTTGCTTCTGCGCGAAGACGGGAAAGACGCCGAGGTCGACAGCCAACCGCGACGGCGGATCGACAGCGGATACGTCACAGGGCACCTCGGTCGAGTCATCAGTGGTCAATCTTTCGGAGGTCGAGTCGGGAGTGGACAACGCGCAATTGGCGTACGAGCAGCAGAGCTTTGAAGCAAGCGGCTACGCAGAAGACGCGAGCGACGCGCGGACGTCCAGTGACGAAGTGAGGGGAACGGGCGCGTACGTCAATCAAGTGGTCCAGGTGGATGGATTAGAAGAAGATTATGGCAACTTTGAGAAAGACAATCCAGCGGTCTTATTCGTTTGATGATAGATCATTAAGAACTTGATGAAAAACTTCTTTCTGCATTGAACATTGTTTATTTATTGAGTCAATAAAGACGTTTTTACTTGTATTTTTGCTACTTGAAAAGAACCTTTTGAGGCCTTATTACAGTGGCCTATGAATCAGAGACGGAAATATGCTGCCCTTGGAGGACAGGTTTGGTAAGATGAAAAGGAGATATGAACAATAATGAATAATCACGTGTAATTGAAAACGAGTGATAGTGGCTTGAAAGGAGAGATCAACTAATTGCAACCGCGACACAAAATCTGGAAAATGTATATCAGTCAAACATCAAAAGACAAAATGATTCGGTTGCCAACTCCTGAAGGGAAGTTGCCCTACAAATCTTTACGGTCATCTTGCATTTCGTCCAAGGGTTGTGGACCTTAAAGAGGGCATCCAGTTGATTGAGTTCCAACAGGATTTCTCTCGGAGACGATGGTTTCACGGAAAGTGTTTTCGAACTCCTAAAGCCTTTTCATGTTTTTTGCTTCATGAACTTTTGAAGACCTTATCAGTGTCATGTGTTCCAGACACTTTACTTCCTGAAAACTGTATGTTGTTGATAACAAAATGTGCAATACATCTTGTTCTTTTTTTTTATTAGTACAATTACGTTTTGAAAATTATTTGTTATGCTTACTTTTTGCATTTTCTTTCACTTTCTCTTACATGTTAGATTCAAATTTCCTGTACTTTCAAAACAAATATTTAATGTTTAGTCTTCAAATATATTGATATATAGTTCGTATCTGTTTATCTTTCATTTCCAAATTGATACTTCAACAGTAGTGTCATCTGATCTCTATCAATTACACAAAATTGAAAATTCATTGCTTGATCATGATGATTGCAGTTTCGCTTTAGGTAAGAGTTAAATGAAGCACTTCACACACGTTTTTCTTGCAGGAAATGCAATAACGTCGCATGTCTCTAGTGTATTAAGTTTACAGGCCTAAGTACACAGTATACCTGCTAGATGCTTTTGTACTAACAAAGGAAAAGGATCATTGTGGAGTGATGATGGGTCAGGTTGTGTTTGTTCGGGAACATTTCGCTTTTTGAAAAGTGAATCTTAACCAACCTAATCTTCCATTATCAGTCCATTAAAGAGCATGCTATTGTTTTTAACTACCGAATAATTGGAGTAATTAGGTTGAAAACAAGGACCGTAATTCCTGTCATGAGTAATACCGTCTTGTTTTATTATCCATGTAATGGTTAAATTACTTGCCAGTGATTTTTAACTTCTCTGAAATTTCCATACGAAAATTTGCTCTGCTTTGAAATATTACAGCGTGTAATTCCCCTCCCCCCGAACATTTCGATGGAACTATGATAATATATTCTACTTTTCTGTTATAATTTTTTATTGATTTTCCCATGTGTTATCTATTCAACATGTAATATAATTATTATTTGCCTTTCCATTATGAGTTAGATATTTGTTGATTGCCTATTTATTGTTTGTGATCGGGTTATGTGAGATGTAGAAGAAGTATCACCTCCTTCTACCATTTCCATATAACCAGAAAGTAATATGTTTGTGATTGTTTGTATGAAATTGAAGTACAATTTATAATAAAATATCAAAGAAAAATATATTTTGTTTCCACTATCATTCTTTCTGATGTTGTTCTTTCCATCATAACAATTCCTCAAAACTCATTCCGTGGGAGACCGTGTTTAATTTACTGCTTGGCCTCCGATGTAGGCCCATTAAGAATTACCGGTTCATGATTTTGTTGCAAGAGAGAAGAGTTTAATCAATATCGTTCCCTAGATAACTCAAAATGGATGAATGAATTCATGATAAGAAAGGGGTACAAAATAAGGGATGTGGATTATTAATGTAAGCACAATGACAACACAGTTTTCTAGCTTGTCATATGTAACCATGTACAAATATTGTAAATACCAACACAGCGACAACAAAGCACGATTTGGTATAAAATGAAAATTACTTTATTCTGATTGCTTAAAAGGTATATATTATCACCAAAAGAGCTGGGTATGCGATATTAAACTAGACTCCTTTCAACATTTCTGTAGGCAAATAGCCCAAAATCGATGACCCTTTATCCTCGCCTCTTCTTTTTTCGTCTCCTTCTTCTTCTTTTTCTTCTTTTTTCCTTCTTTTTTGTTTTTTGTCTTCTTCTTCTTCTTCTTCTTTGTCTTCTCCTTCTTCCTCTTCTTCTTCTTTGTCTTCTCCTTCTTCTTCCTCTTCTTCTTCTTTGTCTTCCCCTTCTTCTCCCTCTTCTTCTTCTTTGTCTTCCCCCTTCTTCTCCCTCTTCTTCTTCTCCTCCATCTTCTTCTTCTATTTCTTCTTCTACCTTTTTGGTTGTTCGAAAAGTTTCGGTTAACTTGTTGGCATAGTCTGTCCAATACCCCCACAGTCATAATGGTATATATACGGTAGTGCCGCTCACAGGGAGTTGATGGCTGTCACGTGGTATTCATAAGCATATTGCTTGTCTTACGACGTACCACGGAGAAAAACAAGGCTTGTAATTTCTTTCCAATCCATGAATTTACTAGTATCACGGAGTTTCCTTCCTTGCATATTAGTCAACAGGTAAACAGTTTCCTGTCGTAAAGTCGTTCACCTCCAGTTTTTCTACCTTCGATTATACGATAATCTCTAAAAGCTTCAGTCCCAGGTTGTGTTTTTAAAACGGCATACAACTTTATATACATAATAGAGGTTTTCAAGAAGAATTTTGTATAATATGGAGGCGTGGGTGTGTGAGCATTTTGTGAGGGGTACTTTGGTGCGAGGGGTGCTTTTAGGGATGTTATACGTTTGAATAATCTAGCTCAAGACCGTAGAAGGACTGTTAAGAATTGTGCTTTTTTGAAAATTCAGTAAGATCCACATGATTGAAGACAAAAAATAATAAGATAGGAAAAGTGAGTATAGGCCTAAGAATTGAGAGGAGACAAGTTAAAAGTGACAAAGATGAGGCAGAGACTGGTACAAAAAAAAGAAAACATATAGAGACAGAGAGGGAAAGAGAGAGAGAGAGAGAGAGAGAGAGAGAGAGAGAGAGAAAGATTAAATGGACATAGAAGGTGAGAAACTGAGAAGCAGGAAAAGTGACAAAGATGTGGCAGGGACTGGCCAAAAAAATAGAGAGAGAGATAGAGGGAGAGAGAGAGAGAGAGAGAGAGAGGGAGGGAGGGAGAGACAGACAGACAGAGACAGATTAAAAAGACATAAAACGTGAAAAGCTGAGAAGCAGGAAAAGTGACAAAGATGAGGCAGAGACTGGCACACACAAAAAGAATATAGAGAGTGAAAGATATTTACTATTTAGAAAAGCATATACATGTATTTAAATTTCCGATTATATTTTTGACATATACTTTTTATAAATCATGATAATATTGCTGGGAGACATAGTTTTACACACAAAAAAAATCCTCCTTCACTTATTCTGTCATCTCAAACCAAAAGCAGTAGTTCGCCCTTGAGAATATGCAAAACGCAAAAATTGTATATTTAAACACTTACTCTATGCTCTCTATAATCTTGTATATAAGGCATTATTTAAAGGCAGTTTGTCTGTCAGTATGCCGGATAGGTGTGCAGATTGTTGTGTGTTGAAGAAAGGGGAAGGGGTGCTCCCGTAAAGTGTTTAATCCCCCCTCCACCCTTTAGCCTCCCCCTGCGGAAACCAATGTTCTTTGCTATGACCGGGTCATGGGAGGAGGGGCATGCTATTTTTGGGGGCACGGTGGGAAGGTCGTACGTGACCTGACAGCCGATTCTACAAAGTTTGGAAGCCCTCTCTGTATACATTGAGTCAGTTCAAGGAGTTACCAGCACTTGGTCAGACGGTGTAACGTTGTCCTTTATTTGATAGTTTGCATTGATCGTGGTCACTTTAATAAAATGGGGAGGGGGTGGAGGAGGGGGGGGGGGGGAGGATTTTTGCAAAATAATTATCTTGTAAATGCAAACATTTTGAAATTGATGAAGACAGAGAGGGGGAAGGGTTGTTGCGAAATATCTTGTCAATACAAACATTTTGATTTGAGAGGGGGAGGGTTGTTGCAAAATATCTTGTCAATGCAAACATTTTGATTTTAATGAAGACAGAGAAGGGGGAGGGTTGTTGCAAAATGTCTCGTCAATGCAATATTATTGATTTAAATTTAAATATAAATTTCATAGAGTTCTATGCTACTTTTTGATGAGGAACAATGAAGTAAGAAATGATCAAGGAATTCAGCTGATTTAATACAATCTGATAAAGCCTAATATGGAGCATATCACGAGATGCACAATAGTGTGTAAAAACATTGTTCCAATGCGGAAATATTATGATTTCCGATATTGAGGAAATAACATGCGAAAATGAAGTATCAATAGAATTTAAATATTCTTCTGATAAAAGGCCAGCTCTTGACGCAAATTCATCGACCTTGTGAGAAATGAGTGATTAAATTACAGTTCAACGTACGAAAAAGTATGAGGGAAGAGTCATTTGTGTCCGTATAATGGTGGAAAAACTTGAATGAAGGAAGAGAATGATAGTGAGAAAGGAAGACAGAGAGGGGATTGGGAATGTGGAGAGGGGAGGGAGAAAGAGGGGGAAGAGATGGAGGGAGAGGGAAGAAAGCAGATAGTAGAAGAAAAGAAAAGAGAATTAAAGAGAAGGAGAAGAAGAAGAAGAAAAAAGAAGAAGAAGAAGAAGAGAGAGAGAGAAAGAGAGAGAGAGAGAGAGAGAGAGGGGTATAATAATGAATCCTATATTCATTTAGAGGTAATATTCTTCATCTACGTCTATTTTGTGTAAGATATGACGATTCCCCCCCCCCTTCTAAACAATAATCTAGAAGCTATGCCATGGTCTTGTTAGCCTCTTGTCGATGCCCTCGCGTTGTTGGAGTCTCTAAATTCTGGCTCGCTTCGCTCGCCATAGAAACAAGACGATGCCTCTTGTCGATGCCCTCACGATGTTGGAGTCTCTAAATTCTGGCGAGCGAAACGAGCCAGAGAAACGAGACGATGCCTCTTATCCCCGGCCCCCCCCCCACTCAGTGTTATTTAGGGTACGCATATGCTCGTACCCAATTTTTGAAAGCACCCCCTATCTGAGGACTGCCAACATTTCCGAACCCCCCTTTCGCGGGCTTTTCGCGGGCTTTTCCTGCCTTGGAGACCCCCCTAAATCAGGAAAAATGCTCATTTTACCCCCCTAAATTCGGAATAATTTCTCAGGAGTCCAAAGAGATGATAGAAAAAAAGAAAAACACCCCCTTTTTAAAGAAATCTCTGGGTGAAAAGTCAAACACACCCCTTTTTTTACAATTCTCGGGCCGGACTTTGTCGCACGAAAAGTACCCCTTTACCGGACATTTTGGCAACACGCATGCGGTCATTCCGACCTCTGAGTGGGGGGGCCGGGCTCTTATCGATGCCCTCGCGCTGTTGGAGTCTCTAAATTCTGGCGAGCGAGCGCGAGGACATCGACAAGAAGCTATGGTCTTGTTGATGATAGAATCACACAAGGCAACAAAATATGTAGACTCAACCGCAGAACAGTAAACAAAACAAAAAAACAACAACCGAAAAACACATTGGGACGGAGGTTTGACCATGGGATTGTGTATGTAGCACACGCTTAAACAACTTATGAAATCATTGATTTTAACCCAAGCTTTCTTAATCTCGATCATTTTATACAAATCAATGACAAATACATGAGGTAGGCCCGGGGAGAAACTGATATCAAATAATTAACCTCGATTCTTGTCCCCGCAATCGGGTTTTAATGCAGTTTATCATAATGAAATACTTATAGCAATCCTAGTATTACCCAACGTTTCTCCGAAAATACATGCCACACCTAAATATGCTCGTAATCTAGAAAGCTAGATGTGGGCAATGATTTGTGAATGCGTCCAAAAGTGAAATGTATCTTATTTGGCAAAAGCTCACTTGGCGATGTTCCAAATTGCATTATCCATACCATTTATATTATAAACTAATATGTATGATTGCATGCAATGCAAGCCATGGGGAACACATTTGTATATCCGACATATACACAAAGATATAATTTCATTTCACTTCCCTATACAATGTTTGCCTGATATAGCGACGTGTGGCACTTGAAATACTGCGAGAGCTATTAGATTTGGGTTATTTATGCATGTAGCCAGCTGGTTAGAGTGCTGTAATGAATAGCCTATGTAGATGTACGTGTAGTATATGATGTCTTTCACTGTATCTCTTCTAAAGTTAAACCACAGGGTATTAACAAATTTCCACCGTGATTTTTTTAAATGTCATCATAATAGGCCTGATAAATATTTCATGGTATAATTAAGATTTTAAGGCCTACGTTTTAGCAGCATGATTATACGGGTGATCTAAATTCATATTTTATTTTCACAGAAACAAAAAAAAAGGAACAAGAGCTGGCAATCGCAGTGAATTCTTTCAGCACATGACATTCCGAGAAGAAGAAAAAAAAAATAGATTCATATTCCTTCCTTGGCTGGCATGATATTACGGAATAGATGTCAATAAATACTCGTGAGCAATAGGCAAAGAATTATACATTTCCCCTCTGTCCTTGAAACTTATTTTACAGATCTAACTTCTCTATTGAAAAATGTGGACATGTCACAGGCCGTTAATTACGGCACTTTGCACTAACATGCACGTGAATATAAGTAATATTTGATATATCGCTGAAAATAAAATGTGACCCTAAAAGTGTACTTCTTAAATTCCATTTAATCACCATGTTGAATACACCGCGCCCCAAATGCACTTTTAATCCCTTCAAGTGGTTGCTGGCCGAAATAACCGAAAATCAAATCAAAGTGTAGTATGCCTACTTTGCCAGTACATGTACGTTACAACCACCCGCAAGAGTTGGATTTAAGCGGTTTAAAAGATCTGATTAAAATAGTGTTCGAACACATGTCATACTACCGGATAGGAATACAGTCTTTGAATGGCTGAGCGCCTCATCTTAGAAACTGGGCTAGGAATCGCCTTCAGCGCCTTTTATTCTCACGCGAAAAACAAAACAAACACGATTAATGAATTAAATTATGCTCATAATCATCATCATCATCTTACTTCTCCCTTCATCACCATACACGCTATTCTTTTTATTGTTCTCATCATCATCATCATCATCATCAACACATCACCCTTCTTCTTTCTCGCATTTGCTTCTGAACGCTCCTCGTCTATTTTTATTTCACTTCTGTCCCTTCTCTCAATACGCATAACACTTCACATTTTATGCTGAAAAAAGCAGACATCTGAACAACAATATCTTGCCACCAAACATCGTATGATACCCAATAGTATTTTTATACAACCAACATAACTATAATCATTATACAATATAGAAAGCAATTACAAAATTAAGCCCGCACTGCACAGCGTGTCAACAAATTCACGAACTGTATAAATATATATCGACAGTTGACACATATTTTTGTATAAAAAATACAACAAGAAAAGTCTTGTCAAAAAATTAACATGTGTCAATAACTTCTTACGATATAGCACACATGTATTATTTGGATGATTTCTATGATTTGTGTGGAGGTGTCGTGGTCCAGTGGATACGTCACCAGACTGTGGATCACAAGGTTTGCGGTTCGCGTAAATAATGTCCTTTGGCGAGACATTAATCTACATTTGCAACACTCGACCCAGGCGAGATAAATGGGTACCTGGAAGGAATGAATGAGCCCTGCTAGAGCCGGGGTAATAATATTGTGGAGCACCAGGAATATACAAGAACCCACTATTATCATTATGACTATTATAACGACTAGAAATGAACATAATAATTATATTGAGTGTTTACATTTTGCAATTTTAATAGTGAAATTTCAAGGTATTTTCAAATATCATATTAAATTCACTTTTGTTGACACTTTTAAATGTTTCACATATATCTTTCCTTCATAAATGATTATATCTCAGAATAAAACAATCTGTCACTAAATTTGAATCCATCACAAATCTTGATAAAGTTCTCAACCCATACAGGGACGAGTACTCTCATTTTCATGCAGTTTGACTCCATAATTTACTTTCGATTCAGAATCCATAAAAAAAGTCTGAAGCATGAGCAGAACATTCTGTACACACTTTGTCAATTTGTCTTTACGTAACATATGCCGTTTGAAGCCAACAATTCTAAAAGGACCATAAACAACAACATTATTAATTTGACAACACTAACAATTGGGAAAGCTTAAATGATTTTGCATGCATGTATTTTTATGCAAGCTGGCGTTCATGAGGGGGGGGGGGGGGGGGTTGACATATCTTTCGGCCCAAGAAAATTTGTCTTCTTCCCTCTAACTTTTTATTAAACCATTTGCAATAAACCTAAAAGAAAAAAACAGTCAGTGTTGTCAATTTGAAGAAAAATTATAAATTTAGCCTTTGATATACACTGGGAAAAAATAGTACCACATATAGATAATAATTTTCTGCCACAAATAAATATTATTTATTTGTTTTGGTAACTAATCATAATTATACTCGATCACTATGAGAATATAACATATTTCAGTGAACACCAGAATTACACTTTAAAATAAAATCTTCACTGGGAAATATAAATTTCTATCAATTGTTGAAGACACTCAATTATTTAAAACACAAAACTAGACTTGTTAAAATATACGATGGTAGAAGAACATAGACATAGATAGATAGTGTATACATGGTCATAACCCGTTCATACTGACGTACTCATTCAGTAGTCATACCAGATCTATAACGCAAATTTACATTAATATTCATCAATGATTATCGTATCATATGCCTTGCATAGAACATGTGATAGTTATACTATTGTATACACTTTTAATGCGTTTAAAATTCAGCCTCAAAACAGACTAAAATCAGAAGTACATTACAATTTCATTCTCTGGAAGATGAATTTTGCTTGCACTGCTTATCTACTACATCATCACTAATTTTTCACGTTTACATTATTTACAAACATAAACCCCCCCCCCCCAAAAAAAAATCAACATTAAATTCATACTGAAATAACACGGGGCTTGAAAGATAGGACGATATAATTACATATACAAGATCATGATAAAAAAGTTTAGACATGAAATACATACAAACAAACAAACATATCTTGAATCAACAATAACAAATACTTTTATGTCATGATGAAATGGATGGATAGCAAAAGCAAATCATTTGGAATTTTCTGATGAGGAGTTTCATGATGCAGTTGAAATATTAAAGATGACAAATTATATTCAGGCAAGTTAATTTTGGCTTCAGTGTATGCTGTAATTTTTTAATTATTTACCTTAATTCAATGAAGTCAAGAAGAATTGTTTAAGCCTTAATATCTTAAACATCATGGACTTGGAAATAATGTGCAAGTTGCTCTGATTTTAGTGATTATTAACTTGACTTATTGTCACAGCGTTTGATTTGCGTGAAGCAGACATTTATGTTAAAGTTCCATAAACCAAGTGCACTCAATTTGGAATTGAATCAAAACATCAAGTGTAATTCTTAAAGGTAAAGACCAGTTATGGTCATGCGATTGCACTGTGAAAGAAACGTTGTGGAATCGATCAGAAAAGGTTGATCATCTAGCATATCAGTATTGGTGTGTACTGCAAGGTTCTGGAATCATCAAAATGATAAGAAATTTGGCCCAGTCTTCGTAAAGTTACAAGCACTGTACACAGAAAGATGTATATGGGACTATACGCACACGTGCGCGACACATGCGTTTATCTCTCACAGACCATGTAGATAAACTAATTTACCAAATATATCAATTAGTAGGTGGTTTCCCGGCAAATTTTTTATCATCATGCATTAGTCAAAACATATTCTTTCACATGATTGGTAATAAGAGCTTCTATTTCATTATTTGAAATTGGGGCGTTTCCAATACTGGTCTTTACCTTTAAATAAATTTGCATTAAAGTCAATGACAGTTAAATAAATCAAGCCTTTTCTTGAATGGTGTAAAATGTAATGAATTCATAGTGTATTTTGACTTGAATTCAAAGTTCGAAACTCATTACTAGTATATCATTGCATTCATTGTATTTTTCTTGCCACAAGAGGGCTCATATCACTTTTAATGTTGGATATTGTGTGAATGAAGTAACAAGCAGACAATGTTGGGTTTGTTTGCGTGCTATTCTACTAATTCTAGCATGTTAAATAAAGATCTTGAAATCTCTAATGATGTCACAGCTGATATCAGTAAAACATATCATGTATGTTCGCACTTTGCCTCTTTGATAAAAAACATTGCTGACAGGTTAAATTCCAACTCACAATGCTCCAACACTGACATCCATGCTTATTCCACATTGTGCTTAAAATAAATGTATTAAAGTCAAACAGTACCAAATGGGGTTGCGACTTTACTAATGTGCATAAAAACAAAAGAACCAAAAGTAAGTACCATGCTCTTTAAAATATCATTTGCATCAAAAGGATAAAATTATTTTAAAAAACAATCCTTCCCGCAGAACAAGGTTGGTTGGAGGGCATATAATGATAATATCAAAACACTTATATTTTTTTATGAAACTGCCTGAAAACATAAACATAAGAAAGAATACAACTTTTATTACAAATTTTGTATTTTTTCTGGAAATATAATACAATTAAAAAACAAAAACTTGGCTCTTACCGGCATATATGCCTTTGTTGCTATAACTTGAAGGCTTGTCTTAATACTGTTTAGCATTTTCATAATTATATAGCGTGCAAACAAAATTGTGTGGTGTGCCTTCATAATTTTCTCAGGATAATAAAGCCAAGATGATCTCTCTATCATAGGAATAATTCCCCATTACTACGGTAGGCTTTTTTCCCCTCATCTTTGTTCCCAGATTATACAAAAACTTTGAAAGAGGGTTAATGAGTTCCAATAATATGACATAAACAATTAATGTAGATTGTTAGCATACATATAGCTAAAATGTAAATGTAACGATGCGGTGCACAAAAAACATGATTGGTATTATTTCAACATAAAACAGATGAAGAAAAAGACCTTGAGCAATGGACCAAGGATACGGTTATCCTATCAAAAAGATCAAACTTGCTTGCCCAACAAGATCTTTAAAAATCTGGAGCAGTGAGTAAGTGCATTGGCTCTGGAAAGATGTGAACAAGCTTTTGGCATGACCAGAACTTATCTTAACATGACACCTTATGAATTGCAGTAGACCGCCCCCCCCCCCCCCAGCAAGAATATGTTAAGAGTTAAGATTAGATCAATTGATAATTTCCATATTTTGTAGCAGTAAATGTTAACCAACCTTCACCATTTCCAAAATTTCAAGTAAGTTTCTACTAGTTTTACAATAATTGGGTTAAAAATAAAAATTGGCTTGAGGAAATCTTACCTCTTCTACAGTAGATTTCAAATAACCTACATGTATACAGAAAGAAAAAAAATGTTTTCATTTTTTACTGTTAGTCAAGAGGGTACCATAAGACAAGCCATGACATTAAACTTACAAGTACATTTTGTAAATATTGCAGAGCTATGCAAAGTGAACTTGTAATCTGTAATACACCCTCACAAACATTTTGCCTAGCTGGCACCTACAGTGTATTTAGATTTAAGCAATTACGCAATTAGAAATATATGGAGGAGGAATAGTTGGAACACAACAACATATTTCGATATCTTGCACTAAATTTCATAAAATGAAAAGTAACTTGACAAGAGGTCCACAAGACTGAAAGAAAATGAATAAGAAAACAAAAAGTTTACAAGACAGTAGATTGAAGAAAAAAATGGAAGCGGTTAGGATCAGAATTTTTTTTTTTTTCTTGTTTTACTGTTCCATCCAAAAAACTATTGTTTACCTTTTCAAATAAAAAATATGTTCCCTGAATATTCATATCAGTATAGTAAAACTTATGCCTTTGATAAATGCCCGATTGATTTATCCTTTTATTGCACTTTATACAATTGGGGGCACTGTGCATGTGCACTTACACATACATGCAAAATCATGTAAAAATTCCAATCAAATATATGGTTTTCAATGTATTACCTGCAACACATTCTACAAGAAAAACATTCTACACATACATCATCATTAACTTGTACAATATCTACATGTACATGTACATGTATACATGTACAAATTTACTTTACTTAGGAAACCATGTATTCCTCCTACATGGATGACATCACAGTCATTCGTCATTTTTCTTCATGTTTAAGAAATGTGACGTTTACCCGTATGGAGTTACTAAATACTACATTCTATATTTCAATGATTCTACATAGCTCTAGGACCATTCAATGTAAGAAAACAAACAAACAAACATCACAATGGTATCAGTATTTAAGTCATTTGCATTTCGCAATAAAAGGTAACTTTATCTCTGAAAACATAAAACGTAATTTTTATAAATTCAGTTTTTAATAACATAGGTTTTTCAGTTATATTTACAATTCGGATTGATTTCAATTAATATCATCAAAACTGAATCTTGTAAGAAATGTTATCATGTAAAGCTATTTTAACAAATGTGAACAATGACACATCATGCATATACAACTTTTAAAAAAGTACTTTATCTTGCTTCTTTGCATACAGTACCGAATAAAAATATGATTATGTACACTGTATTATCCCCTTTACAAAATTATATTATGCTTGTTTTTAAGGATAAATCACTTTCATACAAAATGAAAGGTCAAATTTATGATATCAAAATATGCAAAACTAGTAATGATTAGTGAACAAATAATATCGTTAAGTCATAAAAGGGATGCCAATTCTTCTTGAAATAATGAGTTTGAAATCATTATAATTGTCTTTTGACTATCCTAATAGTTGTCTGATTTTTTCTCAAACATTTCTTTATGTTTGTCTGACTTTTTTGTTACTATAAAAAGTAACTTATTCTGTGACTGGATTTGACCTTCAGCTTGTTGTAAAGGGTGTACTGACTGTGAACAGCTTAATGAGTTTTTCATCAAAGAAGAAAATCATATATTCAATCCATATCAACATACATTTTGATTTGCAAGCAGAGTAGAGAAAGGATTACTGAATTTATATCAACATAGCTTGTTGGCAGTTTGAAAATATTAATACTTTATGGGTCATTCCATGGCTTTGGGGGAATTTTTGTGACATATTGGAAATGATAAACTATGTAACATATCAACCATAACAATGTTTGCTCAAACTGAGTTAAGCATAAATTGCTAAGTACTGTATGTTCAGAAGTATGCTAGCTTCATCAATATCATAGATCTAAATTTCATGTAATATTATATAAATGTGATGTCCATGTAATGCTGGTAAAAAAAGAAATGCATATCAAGCAACGATTGTGAAAAACGAATTAATTGAAAGAGGAATGACTCTGGCAGGGCATTACTATAAATATTTATTGCATACAAATCTTCAACCGATGATTTCATCTTTCATGTTTAGTCAAAGATCTTATTCTACCAATGTTACATGGACATCATCATGTTTTTTGCACCAACCTCATGGAATGACCCTACTATCAACTTCACCACTTTTCTTCCATTATAGGTCTACATGTGCCTGGGAAAAGTTACATTGAAGAAAAAAATAATCTATCAAAATTACCTTCTTTTTTTTTGGTATCAAATTCATGCTTACATCACATGCCACACACAAATACACATGCGTTCATTCCTGGAAAGAACCCCGGGAACAATAGTCCATTTTGTCCAATTGTCCATTTAAACATTTTATTACATTCCTATCAAAGCCTAGTGATATGAGTTTCACTTGCCTATTGACTCTGTATCGCTGCTGTTGACACCGCGATGATTGTTCGACAATGGAAGAGGGGACTTCGATAAATCCTTGATTTTCGGGGACATCAGAGTGATGGAATCCAGTGAAATGTTTGCATCTTTGAAGGTATGCAGGAGGTAGATGCCCATGATGATGACCCCAAAGCCAGCAACGGTGGACAACGTGTCTCGTAAGTTCATGCTGGCCCACTCCTTGAAGAGGATGCCAGAAGCGGTCACCACACACGTCGTGAAGAACACGTAATAAATGGGAGCGATGACCGCTGCATTGAACGTATCCAGAGCTTTATTCAAATAGTGCATGCTCATTAATATACAGACGACGAGACACGATAGCAGGAACCACGTGATGGGGAGTAGAAAAGTGTTTGTACCTTTCGAGTATTCTTTGACGGCGATGCCAAAGCCTTTACAAGCTAGGACAGAGAGGGAGCCCACCAAAGAGCAAATGGAGATGTAGACCAAGATGTTTTTAGGACCATGCGTGGGTGAGACGACGTAGATGAGAACGACTACTACTATCAACAGCCCTATGATGTACGTCACAAATACTGCAGGGTAAAAACAATAAGCCAGAAACTTATGTAATACTACTGCAAACTTATTCAAATGAAAAAATAATGAAACTTATAATAATGTGCCTCCTTAATTATTACTAGGCATTTAATAATGTTACATAAAAAAAGAAAGTTACATCAGGAATTAGCTAAATATAAAAAGGAAATAATTTGTCTCTTATGAATCTCTGCTTCAAAAAGCATGTACAATATGGGAGTATAGCCCAGACACACAAGGACAAATAGGCTATTGAAACAAGTCTTCATTATAATAATGTTTGTTAGGATTGAAAGATGGTTGTTTTACCTTGTGATGTTTTAAACTTTAAACTTATCATTAGTTCAGAGACAATGGGGTGTCAACTCATAACATTTGACATATAATCATTGTCCTTCAGGGTTTCAGAAGACAATACATTGAATGTGAACGAAACAACATGTGAATAGAACTTTAAAGCATGACACTAAATGTGCAGCTGTTTTAATAAAAGTAACAATAAGGTGGTAGGTTGGGAAATTGGGAAACAAGCTATTTTAAGCAAACATTCATCAGGATTTTCTACCCACCTGAATCTTGTAATCGTATAGATAGTTCAGCCAGGGAGGCTGCTCCTCCTTCCACGGGGGCATGTAAAACCATGATGGTTGAGCCAATGATACACTGCATACAGCCAACTTTACCAAGCAAGTTGAGGTTCTCTTTCAGGAAATAATGGGACAGGACAGCACTAGGATTGAAAGATCAGAAATGTGTAATTTAAAATATCATAACTATATCAATGAGGAATGTAACAAGGTCATAATTAAAACCTATCTACACTACTTTGGCCAGGAGGGATTAGATCTCCCTGCATGGCCACTGACAGGTGGTTATCTCATCAAATCAGCTCTCAATTAACATGAGAAAAAGGGGATCATGGGGGACCAATGGGTACCGCTTAGGCATTGTTTGTTATATAGATGGCCCAAGTAGCTACAAGTAGTGCAGTCCCGCTTTAACCCAATCCAATCCCAAAATGCAACACAGCATATTTTTCCCTGCACCTGCAAGGTGCTTAAATATTTGTTCTAATGTGGTTAGGTCACCTGTCAAGGTTCTTTTGCTGATACCTCCAATGCCTATTGTTTGCAGTTGCATAATATAGAAGAATCAACAACAAAAAATAACAAACAATCCAAGGCTACAAGAGAAAAAAAAATTAAGGAAGAACAAGTAGAAGGCATTCTGAGTTTGGCAATCATTCTCAATGCATATTGTTAATACACATACCCATTGTTTGTAATTTCCTCTCTGTATTACTGCACTTTTAATACTCACTCTGCCACACAGCTTGGGACAAAATTATATAGGTGAAAAACTTAAAGGTATAGACCAATTTTGGAAACGCCCCCTTCTCAAAAAATGAAATGGAAGCTCTTATTACCAATAATGTGAAAGAATAGGTTTTGACTAATACGTGATTAATCAAATTTTGGCAAGAAACTGCCTACTAATTGATATATTTGGTAAATTATCATATCTATATCTAAAACCTTGCTGTACACACCAACACTTGCTAAATGATCAACCTTTTCTAATCGATTCCACAACGTTTCTTTCACAATGCAATCGCATGACCCGAACTGGTCATGCTTTTAAACAACATAAACATATAAACATATGCAGATTTAATGTAGATGAATTGAACTTACGTAACTAAGACACTCAGGGCACCAAGTGGGGTCACCAGAAGAGCAGGGGCAAAGGCATATGCAATAAAGTTGAGAAACTCTCCAGCAGCCACTGTAAATACAGATTTATACAGATCTTATTATTTGTTGCCAACATTCAACAAATGAAACTGTAAAATGGATATCCAGGTTTTACAGTTAATTTGGCAAATCATCATACAATGTAATGTAGTCTTCTAAAAACATCTGATTAATCACTATTTCCATGTTGGCAAATGCATGCAAATGTCCGGTCTAAAACAATATTTGAAGGTAGTATTTGTACTTGGGATGTAATTTGTTCAAATTGTGGCTTACATGAACTTCATACTTTTACCAGGAAGCTGTAATGAATGGAGATACCGTCTCGAAAGAATTTTCCGAGGGAAAAATATTCAAGATTTACCTGGCTTAACAAAAAGAAATGTAACCCTCTCCAACCATCATTTCCATCAACAGCTGTCCATATCAATGCACAGTCCCTCTCTGGAATTCCAAATAGTATGAAATGTTACGCAACGCCATCTGCTTCCCTAATTTCTCTATTCACTCTTTTGCAAATATATGCAAGCATCGAGCTTTGAAGCCATGCGTGGCACCGAAAAATTAAGTCATGTTCAGTGAAGATGTATTTAGCTATAACATATAAAATACAGAATCAACAACATAAGACCAATGCAACTTTATATTAGTCATCAAATGCTTTTTCCGTTCTCGGATAGCTCTACTGAAGACATGGCCATTTTAACCAGCGAAATCGACCAAGGAAATCGTGAGTTAGAGCAAATGAAAGGTTTTCATCATCATGATTTTCTTATCTAATTATTGACATTTTCCGAAAATTTCCGAAATTTGTACATAGCTAGGAAGGTAGTCTAAAGGTTTATCTTCCTATAGAACTAAATGAAATTGTGTTATATGTTTGCGCATTTATTGATTGAGGGCTAGAAGTTGTCAAGTTATCACCACTATTCACCCCAAATACGGGCATACAAAGCAAAAGCCGCCGTGCTCGCTGGGCTGGGCTGTGTGTGGAAAGGGATGACCTAGTGCTACTAGGGAGCTGTACGGTTTCGGAGGGGGAATAAGGGGATTACGGTAGGGGAAACAAAAGACGCGCGGTGCCACGGATGGCTTCAAAGGGGCCTCTTGGAGGGGATCTCCATTCATTACAGCTTCCTGCTTTTACAGAGGATTTTCATTTATTAATTGCTATATGTATATTTGATCTGCCACTGTGAAGAGTATGTTTCCAGCATAAAATTTGTCTTTCCGGCATATTAATAATATTGTGAAATAATGTGAGTCCTTTTTAAACTGATAAGGAGAAAAATTAGAGGCAAAAAATCAATAAATATAATAATATTGCTGACAATATTCTTGGTCAATACGCAATGTTTTTAGGTGAATGAGGCTTGCAAATTAAATGCAAGTATAAATTGTTTACCAGTGTTGAAAAGCCTGAATTCTTGGTAACTTTCAGAAAAAGTGAATATTCTACTTACAAAGTCCAAAGCCCGCCCACCACAGCCATTCCTTGAGATATGCATGTCCACCATCACCTACAGGATAGGGCAATGGAAAAAACAGTATATAAGTGATTTTAGAAGACAAGAGATTTAAAAAAAAAAAAGGTTAGATAGCCTAAGTAAAGAGTCCTATGGCTCAAGTAATGGTTTTCAATTTACCTTAGTAAACTTGATATCTTATAACAAATAATGATGATTGATGGTCCTTAGAGAAACTGTTCTAAAATAATCATGAAACAAAACAAATATTCTCAGCACTGACTTGGGCCAATCAAAAGAAATAGCAGCAAAAAGAAATAGTCCACATCATATAATCTGTGTCTCGTTCTGTTACCCTTAAAGGGATTGGGTATATTTGTCTCAGATTCTAAACAAAATCCTGGATTTAGCTCATGCTACAATCATAATTATAAACCTTTCGGTCATTCAGGGATCCCATGACGTTTACAAGCCAATCGCCCATATGATTATCAAGATTTTTATGATTGGAATTCAAAATTTCAAAAACTGTTTTCCAAAAGGATTTTATAACACTACAGTCTATTGAGGAAAATGAGTACCTATGGTAAAACCAGTCACTCAAAGATTTTTCCTTTTTTGAGGCACTTCATGATCATTTTGAAGCCCAATTTTTTGGGGGGCTTCAATATTACATCATATGACAGATGCTGATAAAACGTAGGGCCATGTTAAACAAGGCCTTTAACCTAAAATAGTTATCTCTCTAATTCCCACTTCTTCTTATTCAACAAAATGATGTATAATAAATATTGTGCACTATTTGTTGTATATTATATTTGCAACAATTACACAATGATCTTTTTTTTACCTGCTCTTGTTGCATATGCATGGATCTTAATAAGTGCCTTCTTCTTCACAATACCACTGGATCCAATGAATACAGTTGAACTAACAGCAAGCATCAATCCAATAGTTAGATCACTGGTAGATCTTTCTTCTGCTTCTCCTCCCATCGCACAAGCTTTTTAAGCTTGGTATTTTGGGAATTACTGACAAAAAAAAAAAAACATTGACAATTTAAAAGAGACAAATTTAAGCTTTAAGTCTAATGTCATAGATACTATCAGTATCAATTTTCAATAACAAAGCAAAGATATCTACAATTTGATAAGTTTTTACATTTTCAGGAACCAAAGTTTTGTCTTGCATTTTGCAACCTGGCTGCATATTACAGAAAATTGCAGCCTGACAAAGTCATTTGTATTGTGCAGCGGTTTGCCATGAAACCTGTGAGAAAGTGTGTACCAATGACCATTATTTGAATAATACACCCTTTTACGATTACAAGAGTGCGCATGCGCAGACATGGGCGCCATTTTAATTTACGAGTAAACAAAGTTGTTTACTCGTAATTTAAGATGGTACCCATGTAAATATGATGTCAGCACACAGCACAGGCAGTGACGCAACAATACATGTGCATCTAAAAAGATTGATGACGCAATGTTTACGCACTAATTAAAATGGCCTTAACCATGTGAAAGGGTGTATTGTTGAAGATTAAGTTGATTTTTGGTATGTTATACTTAAAATTCTCCACACCGGAGTGACAGGTCCAAACTGGTCAGTTTCTGAACTAGCGCTAGCACCGACAAATGTATATTTGGCGCTAGTTCAGAATCATATCCAGACTTTGACCCGTAACCAGGCGTGGAGATACCCTACTAAAACATACCAAAAAATCAACTAAACAATTGTTCAATTAATGGTCATGATTTAAAAGTCTTTATCTTTCTTACCCGTTCATGTCAATTGTCTTAAATAATTTGTTTGGAGTGTTTTTCCTAAAAACGAAGACAATATACACTTTTTCACAGGTTTCACAGGTAGATCTAGCGCTGACAAATGTTAGTTTGGCGCTAGTTTAGAATTCATATCCAGACTTTGACCCGTAACTCCAGCGTGGTTATACCCTACTAAACCATACCAAAAATCAGCTAAATCTTCATCAATTGTTCAAATTAATGGTCATGATTTACAACAAGTCAGACATTAAATCATTATTTGACTGTTTCGTGTCAATTTTCTTATCTTTTTGTTTGGAGTAGATCTAGACTAGATCTAGAGTAAAGGAGCCCGTTTTCGGCCACTTAAGACAAAATCCTATTTTTAGGACCCTTTACTTCCTATTTATTATCATTTTTTGTTCAAATCATGAAGCAAATATTATTATTATTTAAACAAAAAAAGAATCCCAGAAAAAAATCACGAATTGCCATGACAATATTCATTTCAATTTTCACTGTTTTGGAGCCAGTTATCGGCCGAGCGTTTCAGTTTACGGCCGCATGTACAAAGTCAATAGGAAGCGCTCGCGCGCGCCGTGCGTTTCCGCGCTGATGTACAGCACAAGCGGGCGGAGCAGGTATCCCACGCCGGAGCTCCCTGGTGCTCGCCTGGCCGAAGACAGGCACAGCGGTGATCGGAAGTTGGAATCTGAATTAGACAGACATATCGTGTGTGCGTGGCAGGGTCCGGCTGCATTGATTTAATACATGCGATGAGATACTTTTGAGCTTGCGAATAACACAAAATCGGGCTCTAAATCTGAAAAATACTTGAAATAAAGCTGATTTTATGGTACCCATATTTCTTACATACACGCGTAAGATACTCGATTTGTCAGATTCGGGTAGCGGGACCGCCGATTACATCGCTAAAATGTGATATTTTAGGATATATTTTTCATTGCAAATGTGGTTCTTCAGTGACACTGGCATGGTATGGTATGAGTGGGATATGTGTTATGCTATTATGCGATGTATTTTAGAGTGATTTTACCTTGCATCCAACCAATCGGCCGAAAACTGGAGCTGGCCGATTACCGGCTCCTTTACTCTAGACTCTAGGTCTATTTTACTAAAAACAAAGACATTATGATAGTATACACTTTCTCACAGGTCTCACAGCAAACCGCTGCACGAAATTACATAATTCCCCATACCAGCACTCTTTGAATCCCGACTTTCACTTGCACTTCCAACTTAAACCACTTAGATTTATGACTTACTTCAAACTCAACGTCTGGGACCAAGGCAAAAAACAATAATTTTTTAGTGCACATTCAATCACACCCTGCTTCATGCGTGATTAAAATATGAGTGTAAATGAAAATATAAAGCAAAAGTCTACTACATTATAATTCAATGTTATCAATATATTCTGTAAAGAACAGTAAAGATTTACTTACACGTCGTTGTGCTAAATATTGATTCAGTCTGTCTTCGTCATATATCACAAATAATGACATTCACACCCAAGACCTAGACAACTCTTCCTAAATAAAATCGACCAATCAAAAATGTTTTTCGATGATGGGGACGAGTCATGGTATTTTCTTTCTACAGTGCAGCGTTAGTCACGTCTTATAAGGTGATCTTATTTTACTTTTATTAGAGAAAAAAATGAAAATAACGGGAAAAAAAAGAAAAGAAAGTAAAAAAAAAAAGAAGATAAGAAACATACTGACAATGCAGCTTTTGAGGACGAATTTATGAACGACGTTTCTAAAGGGACGAGCTGTATTCTTCACAGCTTGGAATGGCCGAATTACGTCGCGTCCTTGCTCTGACACTTTTTGACAAATATTATAAAACCACAGAAGTAGTTTGCAACATTTTATATCTTGATACATTTTTAAAATTTATTTCTTAATTAACCCATTTTTTTGGTTAAAAATGATATCATTCTGATTATTTTAAAAGAGCAATGCATATGAACGACCCGAAAAAGTTCGTTGACCTTGCCTTCAGTTTGCTTTCCAGTCAGTTACCGTCAAATATGCACTGTGTACATGTATGTGGCATGGCGCGTATTCCAAAATTTACTTTTTGAACACTTGTTTTTAGGAGGGTTGGTTAATTGGTTTGGGATTTGATTTTACTCATACTCTGCCTCAAAAGTGGCATGTGAAAGATTGGTCATTTGGGGTTTTTTCGGGGGAAGGTAACAAATAAGGGTGGGACCATGGGGACTGGTGAAATTGTTTCATGGATTTATAGATGCCGATGCATTTATGAAGATCAACCTAGAAATTATTGACAGATTTCAATCTGAGTGACTACTAAGTTTTCAAACTGAGATGCTCCCTCAACAAGTTCATGAACCAATCATAAGGATTAATTCCTTGTGCCACTGATGATGAAAATAAGGCGAATATTAGTTGCAAACAATGGACTTCTGGTCTTGATGCAAATGTGATTATCCCAAATTCTGAGGTGGCTTAACATATATCAATCGTTTTCCAAGCATCTACATGTATAAAATATGTGTTTGTGTCTTGCAATTATCTTTAGACCATTAAAGACGGAGAATATACAATTTGTCAAGTTTGTCTCTCAGTTATGGAATAATTATAATACGCTTAAAATTTTTCAGTGACGGTCATCTTGCAGTTTGGTATTTGATCAATTTTGTACATGTGTTCACAACATCTTACATGTGCATGTCATCATTCCCGTATCAGCTTCACAATCCTCCTTTCTTCATCATTTACTTGTTTATATTTGCTTTTTACTTCTGATGGATGATGAATGAATTTTGCTCTCTCTATTTCTATCTTCCACACTTCTCTCTCTCATTTCCTCTACTTGTTCACTTGCTTGCTCGCTCTTTCTCTCTCTCTCTCTCCCTCTCTACCCCTAGACCTTCACCTCTCTCTCTCCCTTTCTCTCTCTCTCTCTCTCCCTCTCTATCCATCGATCTTCACCCCTCCCTCTCTTGATCTATCTCTCTCTTTATCCCAACCCTCTCTCTCTTACATACTTCTATCTCCATGGTGTGTGTCCGGCCACCAATCTGAAAATGATAACAATTGCCTAAAGATGTAATGATATTCAATAAAATTAGGCCCACTATTTAATGGTGAAAGAATATACAATTTGATAATTATCAACTCTCTTAACAGACACAGCATTATTACAAAAAGAACAGATTGACAAAAGCTCAAAATTATCATTTTATACAAATTTATTCTCTAAAAAGTTGCAGGGTATCATTAAACAAGACAATATATTTTACTTGCCCAAATAAGACTTGCTACTAGGATTAAACATGAATCAAATAAGTTTTACGTAAAATCAATTACGTTTTTTGAGACTGTAGTGTCATGAAGGGTTATCTCAATGTCCCGATGTCTTGAAAGACAAGGATTCCAAAGTTCATAAAAATATACATAGAACACAGTTACAGGCATACTTGTGCATCATATAAATGACAACAGTGATTATAAGCAAGCTTGGCTTATATCCAAACTTGTGTGTGTGTGTGTGCGCACTTTTGTGGGGGAGGGGGTAGGTTAATCTTCATATTGTTTGTATTTAATAAAAGGTCAAGTATAGTTTTGGAAAGCGCCCTATAAACAAATTCTTTGATTTTAGATGATAAATTGCAAGATACTAGCAATATTAAGCTACTGTAGAGGTTTTGTTTTCCTCCTTACGTGCAATCTTAAAAGAATAGAAGGTCAAAATTATTCATATACCTCAGGTGGGATGTAGATTCAGACAACACATATAAAACATATGGGACACACGCTATCTATAGACGAAGCACCAAGATGATTGTGTGCCACGTACTGTCACTGTGTGGGGAGCCATCAGGCTGGAAGGGTTCGAGCGTAGGAAAGTTTATAGCCGTTATTATCTAGCATTCCTTGCAGATCATATTTACAATAAAATTCACTGGAAAACCGGACAGAAGACCAAATTATCTTGTACAAGTATCGTTTAAAGCCTATCTGCACTAGTTTGGCCAGGATGGATTAGACCTTTCTGTGTCGTCACTGGCAGGTGAGGTAGTTATCTCATCAAATCAGCTCTCAATTAACATAACAAAAAAGGGGACCATGGGGGACCAACAGGTACCGCTTATGCATTATAGAGGGTAGCGATAGCTTCAAGTAGTGCAGTCCCACTTTACTACAAGAACAACACGAGACCATGTTTTAAAAGTCTCTTTCCAATATCCTTTTTGATACCAAAACTGTACTTGAGCTTTGATATGATAAACATATTGGGACATCTGCAATATATAATAGATAACATTTCACCAATCCATTCTAAAACCATCATCTGATGAAGACTTAAGACTCGGGTACAATTATCTTCAATAGGAGAGCAAGAACTCTTTGTAGCAGTCATACATTGACTGTAATACATGTCTGCATTCAAGAAATCATAAATGCGACTCATTAATTTTGAAGCAATTTCCATTATTTGAGGACAATATTAAATAAATTATCAAATTCAATTTTGTGATTATGAACCACCCCCACAAGCGCACACATCTCATGTAACATTCAATTGATTTCAGTAATCCTCCTCATCATGTAAATTTCCAGCAAATTCACAGATGATGTCATAATCCATCTTGATGATCTTCTCTCTTTCTCTAAGCAGTTGTACATCAGCTTGGCATTTCGCTTTGTCCTTCTTGAGTACGGTACCGATCTGCATTGAAAATTATTAGAAAAGATGTGTTTGATGTTGATTAGATAGGAGAAAAAACAGGAATGCATCATATATAGTACAATCATCTAAATCCTTCTATAGTTTAATCACATTCTGCACATACAAAATACTGTTTTAATGAATGACATTCTATGAGAAAAGTGATATATCTATACCATTTGATTCCCTTTAGCCTCATATACCAAATTATTTCACATTGTACAGATGCAAAGGATATACTTGGAAGTATGTACCTAATCTATTGTGGCATATAAGCATAACGCTCTAAATATAAATGATGACAATTTTAGTCAAGGCACCAATCTATACAGGTGTATTCCTTTATATGCTGATTTACCTTCAGTGGTGCTTATAAGAAAGCAACAGAGCAAAATACCCTCACTTTTGAACTGGACTTTCTTCTTACAGTATAAAATAATTGGTTAGGTATACCATGATAATGGAACACATGAAAGTAATGAAACAAAAAATTCTGATGCATTTTGGAGTGGAGATTTATGAAAAGAAAATGATTACAAATAAAAGCTTAAAAGGTACAAACCTGGCCTTTATATTTCCCATTGACTACCATGATGTATGCAGGATCTGTCTTGGGTATGAGAGTCTCTAGCATAGATTGGTGGACATCTGTGAAAAACACAGTAGAATGAATGATTAAAAAATGGTGGTGGTACTAAAAAAAAGTAAAATATTTCAAGCAAAGAAATAATTGTATGAGCATGATTCTTTAAATATCATTGCTTGATAAAGAAAATTGAGAGTAATTGAATTGAATTGAACTTAATTTGTTGCCAATCACAGTAAAAATGACATTATACATTGTTGTAAAAAATAGGCAAAGAAAAATACATTGAAATGTATACTTATACATTGGAAACAACAGGAAAAGAAAACAAAAAGAAAACATGATTAAATCTACTTTAAGTATAGTATGGAAAAAGGAGCATTTGTAAAATCACTGATTTATTAATCACTGAATTTCATAACCACTTTGCCTTTCAAAAATTGTCCCCTTGCTTAAATTTTTTTTTACAGAAGAGAGCGCTTTAAATAAATTAGTATGGTATTGAAAATCAGATTAAAGACGTTTGATTCAGGATTACATGGTTTATGAAGAAAAAAAAAGAGATGTACGGTAGACAGAAAAAGTATACCTGCCCCAAATTTGAATACATATGTAAAAAAAAAAAAAAACTACATACAATGTCTATCTTGAGGAAACACATCATCTTTCTGATATAGTCTTCTTTACACAGAATAGCCTATTCAGTTTTAAAGTCCATCTGCACTAGTTTGACCAGAAGGGATTAGACCTCCATGCAAGGTCACTGACAGGTGGTTTATCTCATCAAATCAGCTCTCAACTAACAGAAGAAAGAGGGGATCATGCGGGACCAACAGACATTGATTAGGCATTGTTTGCTATATAGAGGGCGCAAGAAGCTATAAGTAGTGCAGTGGGGCTTTAATACTGCTTTCTCTGAAAACTCTGCAGTGGTTACCCCAGCATTGCCTGGTTTCCACTTGTCCTAAGGGGGACAAATATGGGTAAAACATTTGTCCTGGGATGTAAGCATCGAGCAATGATAAAAACCCAGGACCTTTTTAACGAGTGACAAAAGCCTCCAACCACATACTGTACATGTACCAAAATGCTCGCACATTTTCATAAATTACCTTCAATAAGTGCGCCATCATCCGTCTGACATGTGCAGGTATCTCTGGTGATGACATCAATGACCTTGACCTTGACATTGTAGTACTTGCCCTTCTTGTAGGTTGCATCAATAAAGCGCACTCGCAAATCAGGACGCAGCCAGTATGTGGTCTTCTCAGAACTTGACCTGCGGTTTAGGGAGGAAGAATCATTAAATCATGTGGTAATTTCTTGCGGGTTTTGTAAATCACCCCAATTACCAAAAAAATATTGTTATTTCTATCTGGGTGTGCAGTGTTTCAAAGAGCTATAAATATCCAAGTTAAGTTGGAGTTTCCACATGCCCTTATAAAAGGTAATAACTACAAACTTTATTAACAGCCATACTATTGCAAAAAAAAATAAAAAATTACAATACAGCAGATTCCCCCAAACAGTTGAAAAGAAAGTGGTGAGGGGAACTCCAGAGGCATATGCCTTTCAAGAAGGGGAACCCATCAGATCATAAACGATATTATACATTGTACTGAAAAAAACGTAAAAGAGAACAAAACAAAATACAGAAGACAGCATTACACTACACAATTATACAAGTCTCCTGGAACTTGCGCTAACATATTCATCTTGTGAATGTTCCTACCATATGGTTACTATAAGGGCATATGGAGAGCCACAATGGCATTTGATATCATGAACAGGTTTCAATACTTCTCAGAGGTAAAGAAATTGCAGATGTAGATCCATCTCTTGTCAGGGCTGAAGGCCCATATACTTAAATACCTACCTAGAATGCTTATCATTATCTGACTGATGCTTAGTAGATCTATCTTCTCTCTCCTCTTTCCTCCTACTGGAATCTCTCCTATCATCATCTCTATGCCGATGGCGATCATCCTTACTCCTTGATCTCCCATTATCCTCATCATCTCTTGAACGACCATGTCTGTCTCTATGTCGCTCCCCATTTTGATCTCTTTCCCTATCATCATATCTGTCCCGTTTAGAATGCTTCGCTGGCCTGTCTTCATCCTCTTTTCTTTTGTCTCTTGAATGTTTGTCATGTCTACTACTATCACCAGTCCTTTCTTTGTCATCTCTGTGTTTTTGTTTCTTCCTATCTGAGTCACTGCCATCCTGTGATTTGTCTTCCTCTCTCTTCTTCAATTCATCATGACCTCGACTAAACTTCCCTATGATTAAAAAAAAAAAATCAAAGATGAAATCATTGTGCATAAAGTGAACAAGAGTATGTTCTGCAATCTCACCAAAAACTAAACAAACAATACATTAAAAAATTGCATTACTGTATCAGCAGAGCTTGATATACTTTCAAAGGACAAATCAGCAGTCTAAAAACTCTGAAATTCTTGGTACCAATTATTTCTCTCAATCAGAAACTTCTTATAAACGTTGAGTCCTATAAAGTTAATAATCTATTTTTTTCTTCAAATAGCGTTTAAAAATAAATTTTTCTTTAATATATTATTTGTTTATAAATTACCAATTCTAATTAGAGACTGCACATCACCTCAGACTTAAACTAATGAGAAATAAGGATGTTTTTCAAATCATGGAAAAATCATCTCATCGTTTGTCATCACAGGTGACATGCATGATAGTTCTTTGTTTCAATTTACTCTCTCAAAGGTAAGGCATCACAGTGCTGATAACATTTTGATGTGTCATCTGTCAATTTCTTTTCCTAATTTGATGGATATCCTGATAAGTACCTTGTACCTTGTAATATCTTGTAATATATGGCTGATAAGATTGATAACTAGTTTTTTCATGAAATTTTCTATTCACAGTAAAAAATAAATTTCAAAAGAATACCAGGGAATTATGATAGAAAGACAATGCTTTTAAATGGGAAAAAAGATTTGTCTATTCATACAGATAGTGTGAACTTGTTGAATTCTCATATCTTTCCAGTTTAAAATTGTTCAATAAATTTAGTCGAAACCATCTATGCAATAAATGCCCCCTCTCCAAAATGAATCTGATAATCAGAAACAAATACTTCATTCATATTTCATAACAGGGTTAAATTCTATACAAACAGTTTCAGGATTTATAATGTCCCTCATCCTTTTCATTCACAATCCTTCCTCCTCAACTTACCAAGATCTTTGGAGTATCTTTTGTAATCCTCTTTTGAAACCAGCTGTACTGCAAACTGGCTGAGTGTTGCTGATTGGTTGTTCAAGGCAAACTTGATGACTACCCGTGAATTATCCTCATCCACACCCTCTATCTAGGATTACAAATACAAATACAAAGTAGAGCATTGATGTTGAAGGTAGTGTTAGCAATCTGCAACCCATTTTGGATGAATCAAAATCAGTCCTGACTGTTGCAAGATGCAAGATAAGCCAGAGTGTAACCTCATAGCAAAATAAGTTTCATTTGAAGAAATGAACTTGATACAAAACAAGAATCCTAGTGCTGATATTTTCAGTGAAGGTAATCTTGAGTTCTGGTAGACACAAAATAAGTCCTCACTAAACTAACCAATACTATTATGTAGCTCATGGTAGTGGTACCCAATCAAGCACACACAACATAAACTACATATATAACAAGAATTTATGGTTTTGTGTTTCTTATAAGGAAGTTAATGGAACTGCAATATGCAATTGACTACCTGGTATGTGAAACCCAATCCTAAAGTATTATGAAACTGCAATTAACATATATCTTTGTTTTCAGTGTTGTACAAATGTTTTTATACAAAGATGGAATTGAATAAAGTGAATTGATTCTTAAACAAAACCGTTTGAAACAATTATTTTGTACCATGCCATAGAGATTCTTGTGTGGCCCACTGCACACCAGCAGGTAAGCACCCTTTGCAAATCCTTTCGGTTCCTCTTCCTCTGCCTTCACAGCGGGTTCTCCAGGTTTTCTCCTCCTCTTCCTTTTAGCATCCAATGCATCTCCAGGTCGTCTGTCTGCACCGAGGCCTTGACCTTTAGGTCGCAAGGTCACTTCAATAGGTTCCACAACTCTGAAGTACAAAACAGGAAGAAATGACTTTCTTTGTTGTCTGTACACTCAGATTGTTAATGGGCAAATCCAAGGTATTTGGTGTCCCATACTTTGCAAAGTATTTGATGAGTTTTGAATTAAATCTAGTTACCAGTGTGAGATGTGGTCAGTAACGTACGAGACAAAATATCGTGGACTTGCCATGATGTATCAAATTGAAAGTGGGGTAATAATCTACGAAGCCCTTCTTGAAGTGCATAGAGATGTTATAATATAATGCTATATTCACAATAAAAGAACAGGGTATGATCATTAGTATAATAATTCATATCTTTAGACTTGGGGAACAAAATGCATGATTAGATTTGACAAATATATTTTTATAGTTGGTTACTTTTACCTATATTATAAAAAAGAAGAAGAATGGTATCATCATGTTTTCGGCTTTTGCATACTTAGTCATGTAGTTCTTCTTTTTTAGTGGCTAGGTATTGTTTGAATTGATAACACAACTGTTATTTTCAACTTACTTCTTCAGCCCCTTTCCAATCCCTTCACCTTCCTTCCACCCCATTCCACGAAGCATTGCCATGCCAAACTGTTCGATTGGAACTTCTTCATAATTAGCCTCATTAGCCTGAAATATAAGATAAACAGGAAATGAGTTAAGTCAAATTTTATTATTATCAACATTAGAATTTT